TCTATGACACAGAGCCCTAACCCTGTGCCACCATGGAATCCCCTCCATGTTTACACTGGTGTCTATGATGCCTCCCTGGTGGCGTCGTCATGATAAGTCATTGTGATGGAGGTTCTACCAATAGAGTGAAGTTAGGAGGCCCAGTAAAGGTTCTGCCTTTTACAAGGTGTTATATGCTAAGCACTGATCATATGTTTAAAGCAGTTGAATTTTTTGTAATGTTGAATGATAGAGGTTGTGGGGTCATATTTACCTAATCAGAATATTGTTAAATAGCGTTCTCGGTGTTCATCCTGAAAAAAATCACAACTGGTTACTTGTATCACTGATAAAATAATTTTATTACTTTGAGAGGTGTACCAATCCAGTTTTTTAAATATTGTTGCCTCAGGAGGGTTTGCTTTAAAAAAAAAAAGTTTCTCATCAGAGAGTTGGTTGTAGTTAACTATGTGATTACATGTTAGGATAGTCTTAAATTCTTAAACTGACCACTCACTACTTACAGCTTGTAATTTAAAGTACTATCCATTCTTGGTGACGTGCTATAGAAATTAACCTATATTGATGAAACAGTATTTGTAATCACCTAAATAATCTTCCTCATCCCACATCTTATTAAAAAGTTATTCATTTACTTAAGAGTCTTAAATTTTATTTGAAATATAAGAGTTAGTCTCATAGTTAGAAAAACAGAGATAGGAAGGTTGAAAGACTCCCAAGAATCACAGTTTTAACAAGATTAGAACTTCATGGCAAGCAAGTGACAAGAAAGATTCAGTTATTTCCAATCATCTGAAAGGCATGCATTTGAAGATTTTTAATCCTAGTTCTGACCCTAACTACTTGGCTTTAGGTGGATCGATAACCTTTCTGTGAAAGTCTTCATTTCTATAAAAAAGATGCAATGCCTGTTAGACCTCCTCACAGCATAATTGTGAGAAGAAAATAAAGTAATACAAAAGCTTTTACTCAGCCGCCCTAAGGGAGACAGACCTTGAAGATCTGGCTTCTCCCATTGAACCCTGTAAGTGACCCTTAGGAACATTTCTTCAAAGAACTTGACCTTTCAACTTAATTCTAGGAACCAAACTGTGGCACCAGAATACTTCAGAACAAAATCACTGATACTTTTTATAGTTGCCGAGAAAAGAATAATTACTTTTCTGTTATTCTTTGTTCTATTGAGCTGTGATCTTCAGAGCTTTCAGCTGAAGACTAATTATTGATCTGATACACATTGTAATTTTTAATGTGCACATTTTTTAAAAAGAGTCTTACCTTTTTTCTAACAGAATTATTCTTTATCTTGAAAATGGGGCATATGATGGTGCATGGTAGACCGACACAGTGTCTAATATACACTCTCCAAAAATAATTTTGTAGGATACTGTTTATTCTGTGGAGGACCTTTGTCACCTTTTCTCTATTTTTTTTTTTAAAACCTGGCTTTAACACAATAGAAAAGAAACATTTGAAATCTGAACACATTTTTATTGTTAGGGAAGTTATAAGCAAGAAATAAAAATCTGTATAAGAAAGACATTTTTGGGCTATTCTGTCATTTAAAATTATGCAGGTGATGAGAAGGATGATAAGAACAAGAATCAAATGTGGTTCTCATCCATTCTGAGTATAAATAATAGTTCTGTTCATTCTATGTCAGTCCATCCTAAAGGAGATCAGGCCTGAATATTCATTGGAAGGACTGACGCTGAAGCTGAAACTCCAGTACTTTGACCACCTGATGCGAAAAACTGACTCATTTGGAAAGACCCTAATGCTGGGAAAGATTGAAGGCAGGAGGAGAAGGGGATGACAGAGGATGAGATGGATGGATGGCATCACTCCCTCAATGGACATGAGTTTGAGTAAACTCTGGGAGTTGGTGATGGACAGGGAGGCCTGGTGTGCTACAGTCCATGGGGTTGCAAAGAGTCGGACACACTGAGCGACTGAACTGAACTGAACTGATTGAACCATTATTAGTTACATATAATTAGTTTTTTAGTTTTTTGTTTTAAATCGAAAGAACCAACTCGCTGAATTTGGCATACCTATCTATGCCCATAACTTGTCTATTCCAAAAACAACTTGAGGGTGGCTTATGATAAAATCAAAGGTGAAATAAAACCCCCAAATTAGAAGTACAAATTTAAAAGAACTTCTCTTTGGTTTGCTTTTCATTGCAATCTGTGGTTCCTTTCTTGTTATAAGTGTTTACTTAGCAACTTTAAATTTACTTTTGATTGGTATTCGCTTCTAAGTCATTGATTGTTCATATCGCTTTGAGTGACCTATGGTGCATAAGGCAGTCTGCTTGTGTTCAGATCCCAGCATCTTCACTCGTTAATGCACATGGTCACTGGTTAAAGTAGAAAGGATAGTTGTTGTTTGTTTTCCAGTAAAAATCTATTGCAAATAAGGAAGGAGGTCCAGCGTGAGTTGAGTTCAACTTCGCTGAAAGGAAAAGCAGGAGACCTTGCTTCAAAGGCTGGGCCACATTAAGGGAAAGGCACTGAGGCAGTGAGGTGGTCAGTCCAGGGGACTAGGCCGTCTGGATTTGTTGACTGGCTCCTCTCCAGAGGAGAAGGAAACTGGTCCGATCTTTATGACAGGAGGCAGTGATGGAAACTAGAGCAAGGCAGCCACTGGACGAGAACTAGGGCAGAATTATCTCCTTGATGTGAGAAGACAGTTCTGGGTGGAAGATTTACAACACAACGAGGCAGAGGAAGGATTTATAATTGCCAGTCAGTAACTGCACGAAGAGGCATTCAGGAGCCGATCTGCACACTGCCAGGTTTTGGCTAGAATGATTGGTAAAGACCAATGATTGTCACCTAGACCTTGGTTTGCCTCATCTGTGAAATGAGGATGATAGTAGTACTTGTATCATGGGAATATGTTTCAAGGATCGAAGGAGTTATACTGTACATGTAAAGTTCTTAGAGCAGTGCTTGCTCATAGTAAGCTCTCAGCAGATGCTAGTTATTGCTCCTACTATCTTTAAAGGAGTATCTCTGTATCGTATTAGGGCTTCCCAGGTGGTGCTTGTGGTAAAGAATCCACCTGCCAACACAGTGGACCTGGGTTTGATCCCTGGGTTGGGAAGATCCCCTGGAGTAGAAAATTGCAACCCACTTCAGTATTCTTGCGTGGAAAAATCCCATGGACAGAGGAGCTCTGGCGGGCTACAGTCCATGGGGGTCACACAGAGTCAGAAACAACTGAGCACGCACACATGTATCATATTGGATTGTTTTCGCTATTAAATAGTATAATACATATAAAACATTGAGAAGCATGCCTGGCACATAATAACAATTCAGTAGCGGTTGGCTAGAAATAGTATTAGTAGCAGCAGCAGCTATGTGTGTGTGTTATCTGCTCAGTCATGTCCTACTCTTTGCAATCCTGTGGACTGTATCTGCCAGGCTCCTCTGTCCATGGAATTCTCCAGGCAAGAATACTGGAGTGGGTTGCCATTCCCTTCTCCAGGAGATCTTCCCAACCCAGGGATCAAGACTTGGTCTCCCGCTTTGCAGGCAGATCCTTTCCTCTCTGAGCCAGCAGGGAAGCCCACAGCAGCTGCTCTAGTAGCCACTAATATCTTCCAGTCCTGAATTACTCATAGCTCAGGATGATCAAATAGAAGGGAATCTTGAATTTATTATTATTTCTGTTAGAACAGAATGGGTCTGTTTTGTAACATTAGTAATTCAGAGAGGAAAATATTCATGAGTAATCTTGTAGGTGGTTGTAAGATCTTGAAGCATTGTTAATATTTTGCTAGTGTGTTTCTAGAGTTTTGGATATAGAGGTTGCATCTCCAGCACTTGTGTGGCTTAACCTTCATGCTGTGCAACCTTCAACATCTCCCAGCCTGTATCCTTCTAACCAAAATAAAAGTGAACCTAAGTAATTACAAAGCCTGTTAAGAAATGAAGCAGTTTGTTCAAATAGAAGAAATAGTGTATATAAAAGTAATGATAAAGACTGAATCATGTTTCTGTAATTTTTCTAATTTTAAGATATTTCTTTGATGTGTATTTGAATCTCCTTGCAACACAGAAGTGAAAAAAGAGGTTCAGATTTCACAATTGTGGTGCTGACCAGTAGGTTTAAAGAGACTCAGATGATCTCTGTACATGTTTGTGGAGTCTCTTGATTCCAACACTGTGCAGTAATGTTCCATAGTGTATGAATTGTTAAATGGGTTCAGTCTCTATTTGCATTGGGTATATTACCAATCACAGCACATAATTTCACTGCATATGGATTTTCATTAAGAGGGATGCATAGATCAACAGATCCCCATTATCCTTAATTTTCAGTTTTTATCAACAAAATCTTGTTGTCAGTATATTTAATAGTGGAAAATAGCAACTTAGATAAGAGACTGATAACTGGAAAAGAAAGAATAACTTGAATTAACATTGATTGCTTCAGTGCTCTACATAAAAATTTTAAAGGGAGAACAACCAAATATATGTATTAAAACCACCCTTTATTCACTCTTTGAAATTAATACTTTAATTCTGTTAAATTAATAATTTAATAAAGTAATTCTGGAAATTAAATATTTGATCATACATATAGCAAAGATGGTCAAAACTGACTCCTACATTTTAAAATCAAATGCTTTGAAATATTTTACTCTTTCTGTGGAAGTGTTTAAAATGTTGCCTTTTAACTGTGACAGTACTAGAAATATTACTCATAAGTTTATTTTAATAAATAGGATTTAGCATTGTTTTACAAATAGGATTATATATGGGATTTTATAAATAGCATTTAGAAGAAAGTCATAGAAAAATGTTCAGAGTACTTACGTTCTAGACTTAGCCCTTGCCTTCACCTGGCACCCAGCATTTGACAGATAACCTCGCCTCACTGGACCAGTAGTGCTTTTACAGTCATAGAGCCCATGCTTTTACAAGTTATTTCTTCTTCATTAGCAGCAGCTTAATTTGAATTTTGTGTCTTTCTTTCTTTCACAGTCTGATACGTACTTCTGCATGTCAGTGCGTTTGCCAATGGATGAGGAAGCCTTCGTGAGTAAGTATTAATTGGATGGTGCAGGGGGGTGGGCCGTGGAAGGAAAGGCAGCTATTTGAGATCAGTGAAGGCTTCTCTGTGATGGTTATGAGCGCATTAATCTTCTACTGTCAGTTTCTGAAGCACATTGATAATGCCTAATGCAGAAACACTGAGAGACAAGCGCACAAACTGTATCTGGAGAAACTCGTGAGGAATGGCAGTTGAGGGGCCGCATGCCGATGTGGATGGCTGACATGTGGCCCGTTTATGGAGGGTTGGCTTTCTGTCTGTGGCTGGGTGCTTCATTCCGCTCCACTCGGTGATCCTCTGTTTACCTGCTGGTTCACGCTATAAATCGACTACACTTAGAATCAGCATTGGGGGATATAAGATCTTACTGTCTGACAGGTGGATGGGTACGAAGGGATGGAAGAAGCGGAGAATAAGAGGAGGAGGGAGGAGCTGGGGGGGGGGAGGACTGACTCTGCTGTCTATAGAGTCAGAGGACACTTACGTGACAGCTCCTTCCCCAGCTGAGCCCTTCAGTCAGGCAGTGTGACAGAGCACCGTCTCTTTTCATCTGGGTAGTTTTAATTTAAACGTCCTTTATGACAGACTTTCAGCTGTTTGGGGAAGATGTGTGATTGGCAAATTACTCATGGATTTGCCCCGCTTCCTTTACTTTTCTGATTTGAGAAGTTGATTTTGAAGAGAATGATGCTAATGAGAGTTTGTACTTTGGTGCCTTGAAACTAACCTTCAAGTTGGCTGTCTGAAATGGCGGTCATGTGAATTACAAAATGTGTATAGTAGCCTTGGGGACGTCGGAGGACGAACTTTCCTGAGGCGTTCTTCACCAAAAAATACATTACAGATCTTCAAAGCCAGAACAACATGCATCGGTGTTTTTCACACGTTTTGGTGGCAGTCACAACAGAAAATACAACTTGTATCGACACTCTCTAAACAAAACTTGCTCCATAGTTAATTCCTAAAAATAAGTCAGACCTTGGAAACCTGAGCGTTGCCTCACTGACATTCCTTTGTGTAATCATTGAATATTATTAGGAAAAAAGTTAGAAAGTTGGTGCTTCCAGATCCTGAACTTTATAGGGACAAAAGTAATTTTTAAGTTTCTAGTTGTCATGCTCTGAGTAACACTAAAAGTGGTTTAGGATATAAAGTCATAAAGTACTAACACTAAAGCTTCCCTCAATCATATCCACATATTTGACAGCCTAGGAGAAAATAATGTTTGCTAATAAAGAGACACTGTCCCTGAAGTTTTTCTTTACTAATTTTGTATGTTCTTTGTCCCAGTTCGGGGTAGACTTGATTGCTCCTGTTTTTGAAGAGAAGGCCACTCTACACACCTGTGTAAATATAGTAGTCGTGTTTTAGATCAGTATTCCAGGTCTCACATTAATAGGTTCCTGGTTTGTTTCTGGAAGTAGTGGTAAATGATGTCAGAGCTGGTGACTCGAAGGCCTATAAATATATATCCTGGAATGTGTTATTGCTCTCCTAATAGAAATGTGTTTACTTTCACGTAACTTTTAAGTTGAAAGTACAAGTCAGTATATTCAGTCAAGAAAAATATTCACAGGAAACACATAAAGGGCTATATTAGAACCAGGGTATTAAACGTTTGTCTGTTTTTCTCAGGCAACTTAAAGGATCTTATAAGAATTATAACTACCGGTTTGGCCAAAAAGTTCATTCAGGTTTTTCCATCAGGTGTTAACAAAAAACCCAAATGAACTTTTTGGCCAACACAATGTCTTCAGTATTTCTTCTTTATTGCTGGGAGGACTGCATGAAGACTAATCATTTTGTCACCTGTTCAAAACATGATTATCTTTAGTGTTAATCCTTTAATTTACCACCCCTAGGAGATTTTTGGTTGCCATTGTTTATATAATTCAGCAACCACAGAAGTTTAGGTGTAGGCAAAATAGAACTGGAAAACTGAAAACTGAAGAGAAGTACCAAGCAATTATTTATATATTTGCATGTGTAATCTCATTAATTCTTAGGACGACACTGTCAGTTGTCCTGTTTTTATAGAGAAACGGAGATAGGAACATCTGTATCTGTGGTTTAAGCAGGTCCTAAGACAACAGTCAGTCCTATTAAAGGAATACGTGTTCCTAGAGTCAACCCACCACCAGCAATCGTTTCTTGAGGACTTGCCAGACACTAAGATACTGAAAACTAAGTATATCTAAGCTATTTTATAGAAGAAGAAGCAAAAGTTCAGAGAGGTTAAGGGCCATGCCCAAGCTTTTTACTGTATGGGTGCTGCTTTACCTGAATGCCATTTAAATCATAACAGATGTAGGTGTGGGGATGATGACACAGGGAATAAAGGGGAGAAGTTATCAAATGGACAGAAGGAGCTGAAATACAGCAGAAGCGCGTCACTGTCTTCCTCACAAGAGAAACAAGTATTCCATAATTCCTTACTGGGAACACTGGGCAGTTCCACCAAAAAGGTAAACTGCAAACTGTCTTACAAAATAAAACCCAGTACACAAGAAGATGTTAACATTTGCAGAAGGAAAAGCACTTGGATATACAGATTATATGTTGGAAGGGTAATTATACATAATGTATCCTAATTCCCAAAGTGAAAGGTTTACTTGTGGGGTAACCAAGGCTTTTCCGTGAATGAAACTTTGACCTTTTTGTGGATTGTTTGAATTCTGGGTCTCAGGGCACCTTATCAGAAGATTAAATTTGGTTGAAAATGAATATTTGTAAAGACCTATAAAACTTTGTCCATTTAAGACACTTTAAAAAATATTTTATGTTTATATATTTAACATGTTTATATTTTATTTTTATATGTAGTATATTTAAACTATTTTAAAATATGAAATAATGTTTATATTTATAGTTTATATGTATAAATATATATATATTACACTTTGTTTTCATTATTTGTGCTGTAAAAATTTTTGAATGCTGCAGGGCAGGAGTAGAGACACAGATGGAGATAGTGGCCTCGTGGACACAGCTGGGGAAGGAGAGGGTGGGGCAAGCTAGGAGAGCAGCCTGGACGTGTACGCACGGCCGCGTGTAACGCAGCCAGCCAGGGGGGAGCCGTGTGACACAGGGAGCCCGGCCCGCTGCTCCGCGATGACCTGGGGGTGGGCGGGGGAGACGTGTGTGAGGGAGCCTCAAGTGGGGGCTTTATATGTGTACATGTGGTCATGTGGTTATATGTACACATGAGTCATGTGGTGCAGCAGAAACTAGCACCTAATTATAGAGCAATCATAGTCCAATTAAAAAATAATTAAAAAAAATTTAAAAGCCACTCAGAAACTGCTTGCCTAATACATTAGTGGTTACTAAAAAAAAAGTGTTTTGTTTGCCCATTTTCTAAGGCAATATATTGAATATTAGTTTACTCTTTTGTCTTAAGTTATACTTGTTTGAATATAAGAGAATAATTTTTTTTTTTTAAGAAAAACCACCTGTCCATAAATCAGCAAATTTTAAAAAATTCTATTATGTGCCAGTTATTGGGCTAGCCCTGGGGATGTGGTATGTTACAAATTCAAGGAAATCACAGTCTGGCAGGATTCTAGGAGACAAGAACACAAATGTTACAACATAGGAAAAGGACTTTCTCCCTTGCTTTTCAAATTTCTGAAGAAATTCAGAAAAGGCAGACTGTTTATGAGGACTAAAACAAACTCTTCTGATAGTGGTAAAACCCAAAATTACATTTGAGTAATTTTTAATTTTGGCTTTATGCTTGTGTGACTAATTGTGTATCATGTAAATAAACATTTCTTACTTTTGAGAGGATACCATCACAGTTGTCATGAAATTTTATGTGCCTATGCCTGTAATATGTACACATAAGCCTACCCAACATGCTTGATGTGTTTGTATGTTGGCATTGAATTATTAAATATGAATCAAAGTAGGTATTTGAGAAAATGCTCTAATGAAGATAAGTATAATTCTTATATTTTGAACAAAATCATAGTTTCCCCTAGAACATTGCTTTTGTTTTTGTTTTTTTTTTTTAATAAAGAGCCACAGAATTGGAACGGGTGAGGGTATGAGAAAATCTACATTTGATCATTGAACTGTGATGCTGTCTAAAAGGTGTTTTATAGACACTCAGAAGAATTGGCTCTGACAGCAGCCCACTCAGCCAAGAAATTTGACTGTCATCTTCATCCACTTGCTTTCCCTCACATGGATGACCAGTAAATAAATGTGTCTTTTCCTTAGTGAATGATGGCAGGTCCCTATCTATCAAATTGCACTATACAAATGAGATAGCAGCATTGAATTTAGAAATAGACAAAAATTCATCTAATGATGCATTGCCTTTTGTCTTCTCGGGCTTTTCTGTTGAACGTAGAACAAGGCAGAATTGCACAGTTAGATTCGAATATTTCCAAATGTGAGCTTTCTTAAGCACATGTTAAGGTGATATTGGGATAATTCAAAAACCCCAGGCACGGTCTAATTTTGATCATGTTTATGGGTCAGCTACATAGTATGACTGTAAAGACCAAGGTTTGACAGGGTACAGTGCTCATTTACCCATATTTTGTGGCCTTGACAGTAATAAATACTGAATAGAAGAGTGTGTGTGTGTGTGAGTGTCCGTCCCCACGCAATTACTCTGTCACCTTTCTGCTTCCCATTAGTTCACTACACATGCCCTCCCTTCTCTCTTCACCTAGGGTTTTCTCCAACATGAATAATTTAGTCTCCGTCTTCCACATGACCATCGGGGACCTTCCATCAGGCACCCTCAGAAGCTATTTTAGTTTTTTAGTGAAAGCTACTTGGAGAGAGCTGAAATAGCACAAATAAGATGCAGTCTACTGGAGGTCTGTGATGAGTGGATAAAATCTCACTCACTTGCACCTCATCGTGAACGAGAAACTGTTGCTATATACTCTGTCTCAGCATATTTTTTGAATGTCTTCTATCGTTGGTCACCCAAATACCCGCATTTCCAACATGACAACCCCCAAAATTCC